TTTATGTATATATATAATAAATATATATATTTATATGTATTTATTTATTTATTTGTATGTGCTCTCAGACTGGACCCCAATGATATGAAACCTCATAAATGTGTTTTTTCCATATTGACCTGCTCACGTTATTCCTGCTGATTCGTAGCAGGTTATAAGCCTTGGATATCCCAATATCCCACGAATGTAATGTACTCTTCACTGCAGTAATCGCTGCACATTAGAGCAATCAGTCCTGGTCGCTATGGTAGCTATTACATTCACAGCTGCCCAGGCGTGTATAGATGTTATGAACCAAAGAGGATCGGCAATTGATGTGGTTTATGATTGCGACAACGCTCTCACAGTTTACCTCGTACAGCCTACTTGGTCTTTTATTTCACTGCATCTAGCACCTTTCCTACAAATTTGTTTGTGTATATTCATTCAAATAATGTCAGAAATGTGGTGATGATGAGATGGCAAACAGCATGGCTGTACTGGGATTCATTACAGCTCTGCACAAATGTTGTTTATCTGAGGATGCGCTGCGCTTGCAGGGTGAATTAATTGAACCGTCTGAGTAAATTAGTTACTAATCGGTCTCAGAGGCATAAAAAAAAAAGCCCTATGTTACTCATTGATAACAGCGAGCTGCTTTTCTGGGTCAAGGCTGCTTTGGCTGAGGGGGGAAAAAAGCATTCTGAATCTGAAATTTGACATTTAGGGGAACTGAATGATGTGCTAACTTACAAAACAACACTATTTTTGCTCGATATATAACCACAGAGGAAGAGTGTTGTGCATTTCAGGATAAGAAGGAAATATTTAGTGCTGTCAAACTGAAAAACAAGCTATTCCTGGATTTCAGGAAGGAATTATTGAGAAAAAGCAATACAAATTGAGCTCTAATAAGACAATTTTGTTGCTCCTTAGCTTAAAGTGGACATCTGTTTTAAAGATGCAAAGGGAAGTGTAAGTGTGCATGCAGTTTTGGTTCAGCCTAAACACTTGACGACGGTTTCGCACAATGCTGCAAGGCTGCAGCATAAAGCACATCTTCCATTGCGGTCGTTCTCTCTTTTTCTGTCGTTCTCAGCTGTCTCAGGTCTGCGGTGTGCTGTTCAACAGAAAACAGGAAACAGCTGAAGCGCGTTCGCGAGTTCTCAGAAAACGCAAACGTGCAGTTGTTTGCAATCGGAGGGCTTTAAATTTGCCACGTGCTTAGCTTACGGCCATGCTCGTTCTTTATCACCTTCCCCATCTGATATGTCATAACACTTATCAAACTAATAAAGATTCATATTAGTTCTAGAGTACATCAAAGCAGTTTGATGAACAAACTGTGGTTAAAAAAAACAGGCTTGACTGCTTAGCCCGAACAGTCAACGGATGTTTACCAAGGGTTAGGCTTCTCGTTCCACACCAGGCCAAAGTACAGCAAATCCACACAATGAATCTTTTAAACTCAGATCTTAAACAAGATCACCCATGCCATTTTTGAGCCAGAGACAAAATAACAGCAGATTTTCAACTACATATGAGTCACAAGAAACCTGTCACGAACATATTTCAGCCAAAAACATAGGAAATAAATAAATTATATTTTGCTTAAAGAAGATTAAGCCTATTTTTAGGGCCATTAAGAGTGTTTGCATTTTCACATTATTATATGAATTATATGAAAATCGTCCCCCGCAATTGTCATTATCATAATGCAAAAAAAAAAAAAAATTTAATTACCGCAAAGCGAAAAAATGAAAGCTTTCTCTTTATCCTGAAAATATAAAAATCTTGATATTTCAATCAGACGATATTCAATAATCATAAAAAGAATCGTATTGCGGATGCATCACAGTATTGACAATTTGGAGGAAAATAAATAAGATCACAAAACAAAAAATAAGGCTTGGACATGTTTCCATGAGATTTGCTTATATGTGTGTGAGAGAGTGAGAAGGTGTTGGTGTTTTCATATGTGTCTGCTGGTTATCTTTTCCCTTCTCTGAGTCAGCAGTTCACCACATACACCAGGCCAGAGACCTTTCTGAGAGACAGAGAAACAGAGAGCGAGGGGGCCTGTTAAAAGTACCCAGCTATTCTAAGCATTCCTCTCGCTGTAAAAGCAGGAACATACATTCCATCTCAGAAACAGAGAGAGAAAACGAGGTGACATATAGATCTGGAAGTCCCCTAAATGACAAACACGGCGTGTCTCAATCAATGTCTCAATACCAATGTCTTAGTAATGGCAATGGCATTTGAGCTGCATGAACTCTACAAACTTCTTTCCAATCCTAAAACTGTTTCTGGTTTTAATTAAATTGTGAATCCTAGATTTTCAATGTAGACTCAGACCTTTAAACACCATAACACAAACTGAAATATATCAAGCAGGAAAGAAGAGACATCTCCACTGGTGACCCTTGCTATCAGCTCCACTGGTCTTCAGCAAGAGTAACAACTTTAACAAGATAAGTGTAAAAACAACAGATAACAGGCATTATCTTGACCCTCACTTTATAAACTACTGCGCACATAAAAATATAAAAACAGGGCAGAAAAACTGCTTTTGAAAGCCAAAGGTATGCTGGTGCTTTCAACGCAGAAATCATATTATCGGATCAGATCATAATAATATGCATAATTAATAAAAAGAATATGCTCATCGTGTCAGTTCTACAGAGTATATATGCAGTCTGTTCTTTGGGATGAAAGGAAAGTAGCACCTGACAGGGGTTTTATTCTGAATAAAAGAAGACAGACACACACACACACAGAGAGAGAGAGAGAGAGAAAGCAACCAGGTGAGTCTCTCCCACAGTGAAAGAGAGACTGCAGTTTCCTTCCAGCTGCTTTCACTCAGGTCCCGTTTGTTGTGGTCCAGTGCTGCACATGAAGAACGAGAGGGTGGTTGAGCGCCGAAAGGCAGAAGTGAGAAGAAAGAGGAACAAACCAAGGCCACACAGTGTGAAGGAACACACACTTACAGCATATCCACAGATATGTTTTTACTGTGTGCGGTCCTGCATCTAAACACAATCTCAAGCTCTGCCAGATTCCGTGTGTTTGTGATGTTGTTTACCGCATGCTTGCATACTTCCCTGGAAAAACCGTATGCTCAAGCGTCTTGGTCAGAACGACTTTTAGCAGAGTAGGAAACAAGCTCGGCGACTCTGAACTGGCAAGGCCTAATAGATGTATTGGACCTGTTTTGAGTCACATCACATGACATGCACACCTACAGAATTGATGCCCCGCTTCAAACGCTCTCGCTCCTTTCCAAGTGTTCAAACATCTAAAGGACACACGAACAGCTAGACACGGCAGGTCCTTTCATTTTCTTTTTTGTTATACTCGTCTTCTCCCCACCCCCATCTCTCTTTCCATTCTCTGTCTTTGTCAATTGAATCGAAATACCCTCCATTTCAGATCGCTACCAGGCAGAAAACAGAATCTTGGAGACTGAGTCACTTTTTCTTTTCTTTTTTAGTGGAGTCAGCGCTTTGACAGCACCCACAATGCCTTGTGTGTCGTGACTTATTTGAGATGCTCTTGCTAGAGAACATTATCTTTGCAAACCTGCATGTCAGCAAACACAAAAGAAAAATGTTATTGATATAGACAAACATACTTGATGTAAGTTTAAGCTTGATGTGAGAAGAATATTACTCAGTGAAACAAATAATCATATAATAGAGAAAGCTATGCATTAGCATTCCCTTTTTTATCTATGTTAGCTGCTCAGTATAGCACAACACCCCTGAAAGTGTTTTTAATCTTTTCTCATTGTCCCTCTTTTCTACATCTAGGTTTTTGATCCATAAATGACTACAGAATCACAGGAAAATGACTAATTAGCTGATTAGCACTACAAGGACACATTGTGCAAACAACTATCCTAAGCTAGTGATGTCAAAATGCAGTAGCCAGGGGAAAATCCAAAACATTAATCCTATTGCACATTTTTAAGACCCAACTGAGGAAAAAAATATACTGATAAAATATCCTCTGTACTATAATGAAATCCTGGCAATGTGGTAAGGAAGCTAATAGCAATATAGCTAATAGTGCTATTAGCTTGCTTACCATATTGCTAGTATTTCATTATAGTACAGAGGATATTTTGGTGATGTTTTCAGCACCTACAATCAAGCGCTAACTGCTAACTAGCTGAAGCTTGAACCCTAGGGCCAAAGGCCTGTTCACACCAAGAATGATAACTATAACAATATTATTATCCACATCAACAGACTATAACTTTCTATTTATTATAGGCAAGTGCTGCATTGTCATCTGCCACAATAAATGTTCAATCTCTTTAAAGTCGGGTGCCGAATGAAAAAACGCAAATGATTCCGATGATATCTTTCGTCTGTCGTTACACTGTAAAAAGTGATCAGATGACTTAACTTAAAAAAAGTGAGGAAACCCATTCCGTTAAAATTATTAAGTAAATAAACGTCATGTGTAATTGAAAAATTAATTTAAGTGGAATTGTAACAAAGTGAGGAATCCCGTTGAGTTAAAATTAAATAAACTTCATGCGTAATTGAAAAAATATGTTTATAGTTTATACCATTTATATAGTCAAAGCACATAAGAACGGCCAAATGCTTTTCCACATATTAATGAGTTACAGATTAATGAGTAACAGTGATCATTTGTAATTAACTTTAAGCTGGTTAATGTTGGTTGAGTCTATTATTTTCAAAACGCAGCTGTACTAGACTCATGCTCTCTACTGACGTCCATACAGACTTCCTTTCTTTGTCTTAATAGAGGAAAAACTCAAAGCAGGTCAGTGACATCAGGGCCTGGTTACTAATATAACGTCTGGCATATTTGTCTAAAACGGCCGAACTGGAGCGGAGAATATCAGCATTCTCTGGTCTGTGATACAAAACTGTCGCATCCCCGTGCTGTTATACTAAATTTCATCCAAGACAAAGAATAAGCTAATGAAACATGAAAGCATATGTTAGAGTGTTTTGATAAATAATAAGACCAGATCCACGGGAAAACATTGCCAAGATAGGAAATCTTTTATTACAGAGAAAAAAACTTTTCTTCCAAAATATAGAAATCTGTACAACTTCCGCACAATCAATTTACATGAACTGTACAAATTTACAGCAGTTCATCACAACATACCCAAGAATGAGGAAAATAATGAACACAAGAGATGTACAGACGGGAAAAATCACAAGATACAGACAGCTTTATCTTGGGTTGCTCAGAATTTTTTCTTTTTTGTTTTAATTTAAAAAAAAAGAAAGAAAGGAATAGAGGGGGGAAAAAACAAACACGGAAAGTCTATCAGCACAGAGCATGGAAACTGATTTATATATTACCAAAACAACTTTGGTCCTCTCCAACACTCCTTACACAAATGGCTTCACTTATGAAAGAGGAATTCATGTTAAAATATGAAATACAAAAAGGAACACGTCTACACACAGCAAAATATCAATTATTGGCACTTCCCATATGTATGGTTATGTACTTAGTCTACCATATGTTGTACAATAACAATACATTCTACAAATATGGAACCACCTCAGATGCGAAAGTGGCAATAACGCAAATCACTTCTGAAATGACCAACAAAATTCCCAACCGAATCATTCCCTTCTGTTTTTCACATCTTAACATCCATAAGGGTTTCAATGAATGTCTGTGGCCTGAGCTTGGCAATACATTCCAATCGAGACGCTTCGGTCTCAAAGTCACATAACTTCAATGTTTAACCTATTAGTGCATTTCATGTGCTCTAGCCTCCGAGTATACTAGAGTTCAGACTTACAACGATACTTAAAACTTGTGTGCAAACATTTACTGAACTGAAACGGAGAATAGAAACGGTTTGCTGATGTTATTTCAGTGGAGGAGGGGGAAAGTAGCTAGTAGTAGTTTAAAAGCTGCAGATCTAAAAAACACTTAAATTGTCTGTTCCAATTTGGTTGAGATCACCAGAATGTGGTTAAAAAGCTTCAAAGGTAAAACCATCAGGCGAAGGGGGCCACGTGTCAGATTTCAAAGCATTCAGAGGGGTGGGATGGCGAATTGTGTCCGAATATTAGGGTTCGACCCATGCTTAAAATGTCAATTTTGATTTAAAAACAGACTTTCCACCCGTCTAAAATAATGGCTTGAGCAAAACGAGACAGAAAGGGACGGCAGTGCATCGACAACCCGGCGTTACCCATGGTCCTCGAGGGTCAAAAGTATTAGCACACATAGGACTGATCATCAGCACCCTGTCTCGGCAGTTTAACGGCTAAGGCAAGAGCAGTTTGTCGCACACATAAACGCACGCAAAGCCTGCAACCCGCTTATTTCCACCAACTTACACCAATGTAAACAGAATCAGCCAGAGACCAGGAGCATCCCGTATTAGCATCTCTTCCCGTCCCGACTCGGCCCTGTACGTAAGGCTCAGTGGGGTTTGGAGTGCGCTTGGTGTGTGTGTGTGTGTGTGCTGGCATAAAAACTCTCCACCAGGCTGCGAGAAGGGGGCCGGAGAGGATTGTAGCTGCCCTGATGTGAGGGTCCTACCCCCTCCTTCGCCCAGCCGACAGAGGGAGGTGATATGTTTTGACCGCGCACTCCTAGTTAAGACTGAGACAGGTGACGCCTGTTTGGAAAGTGCGTCGGGACACCCTCCGTAACAACCGAGCACCACTGGCCCTGCGATTCTGCGAGGAGATGGGAACATTGGTCCGTTTTTCGACGCCCTTTCTTGTTGGCCATGTACTGGCCGTAAATGAAGTCCTAGTGATTGACAACTAATCTCGAACAGCCTGAATCAGTCAATTGAAAGGATAAAAATTGGCTAGAGAGAACAACCTGGGATTGCAATGTCTCCCTCAGCTTTGAAAATATTGCAACCACGTCGCCCTGTGCAGAGCGCAAGCAGAGAAAGCGATTTACGACAACTGAATGAGGAGGTGCGCGATGGAATGCAGCTGGGTCAAATCAAAACGTCATCCCACACAGTCTAAAATGTCAAAGTGCATTCAACGTCCTTTCTAAACCAGGCAGAAAGTGAAGACCACATCTGCTCCAAGTAAAAAAAAAAATACAAAAACTTTGCTACATCTTTCATTTTGGTATGACAAGGGGCTTAAATAAATCAAATGTTTTGTCGTTGTTGGATTTTTCTTGAGTTTTTTTTTCTCTTTTTTGTTAGAAATTACATTCATCCAGGAGGGAGCCCCTAGAAAAAGCTACAAGCATGAGAACCTTTGCATCACAGTGCCATTGACGGCTAGAGTGGGTAACAGTATGACACAGGTATTCCATCGCGGCAGTGTACAGGATGAAGGCGGTTTGAAACCGGTTCACGTCGACCTGAAGCCCAAAAGGAGCTCCGGTTGTGTGCCAGACACTGAGAAAAGAGACAAAAGTACCGCTTTGTGGTCCAAAAAAGTGAGGTTTAAAAAAAAAAGAAAAAAAAAAGAGGCTCGTAGCGGCTACTCAGGTCTGGCACGGCTTCCCGAAGGTCTGGGCTTCAGCTCAACGAGAGAAAACGGAGAGATGATGAAATAGGATTCTGAGTGCAATTCCTAAACATTTTAGAGGGAGTTTGTGTTTATGCGATAACATAAACCGTGAAAGCGAAAGTGCAAAGTCAACATCGACAGACGATGGCAGAAAAAGCCCCCTTCTGTGAGCTGGGGGGCCGTGCGATGTTTCAGGTCTTCATTAGCTGCCCCAGGGTCGAGCCTCTGGTAGATCCAACACAATAACAGAACAGACAACCAAACGAGTGAAAATTAAACCTACGAGGTTTCCATCACCTGGACGATAGGACACATCCTGTTTTTTTTTTCTTCTTCTTCTCCTTTCTCTCTTTTTTATTTCTTAAAAATGATTTCTGTGAACCATTTAGCTGGACACAGTCATCATGTAGGTTTTAGCGGGGCTGGTGCGACCCATAACCATTAGTTCCTCCTTGCAGCTAATGCGACTGTCCACCATGGGGGATACCTGGGAGACAGAGGAGGAGGGGTGGCCGTTTCCAGTGGTAACGCTGGGGTTTCCGTTGGTAATTGGGAGGGACTCGTAGAGCACGCAGATTGAGCCGTCCTCTCCGATGCGGTAGGACACCTCAAATGGGTCGACCCACAATGTGAGCTCACTAGGAAGCAGCAGGTAGAGTTGCTGGATGCTCAGGCCAATACGCTGACCAGCCTGTCCCACCAGAGGGTCCATCTTGTGGTTGATACGTATGCAGCGATAACCAGAACCCTTGTTGGGACGATCTGGGAACCAGTGGTGTTTGTATTGCTCTGTAGGAGAGAGACAGAGGGGGTGGTTATGTAATCGTCCATATTTAAACTAATAAATAAAAAGCAATGGTAAACAAAGCAATGCACAAAAAATGAATTCACTGAAATGTTGTGTAAGATTTGTTCTGTGGAACTTGCTAATTATTTATTCAACTGTACTGACATTAAAACTATAGCCGACAAGTCATGGGCGTTATTAAGTTAGTCAATCTATTAAATTAAGTAGTCATCATAAATTATAAATATTAATTATGATGTATATAAAAGATATTTATTTTAAGATCTGCTACAAATTCTGCTTATTAAATTGAGTATTATTGAAGAATAATATCACACAAATTATTAATTCAATTAATTTGGGGTAGCAAATCAAAACTCTGGCTGATAATACCAATTAAAAAGAAATCTATTAAAAAGTTGTGTTAGGCAAGTGTTATTAAAGAACACTATTCATTTTAAGCGAGAGCTGCATATCATTTTAGGTGGAAATGAACATGCATTTTTAAATAACATTAATATTATATTATAATATTAATAATATATTCAGGTAATATTACTAATATTGGCCCGAAAACCTATATAGTCCCAATATATTGTGCATCCCTAAGCTTAGTAGACACCAAGACAATGGTTAACGGTTAGTTTTTTTTTGTACACTTTACTAAGTTCCAGAATTTTCTTCTATAGTTTGAAATCTTTCAATTCCAACATTTTTAAATAATAAAAAATTATTAAGTTTCAGAGTCCTTCATAAACTTTTTTCGAAAGCATGTGTTATTCTAGCAACAACAACAAAACAAATATTATATGGAAAAGGACTTGTATGCTTATATATTTAGAAACAAAAAGAAAATCAACTTCGTTATTCAGGAATAATACTTATCCCTACCCATAATAAATCGAACGAACACTGTATTAAAAAACACGCATTCTGCAATATGATAGTTTGGCCTTGTTAGGCAGCAAATGTAGCAGCAAAAAGATGGCGCAAGTCTAGAAAGGATATTTTTCACAGTGTGAAATGATTGTTGGTAGAACACAGATAAACAACCATTAACCATCTGTGTCCAAAGCCTACGTGACGGAGAGAGAGAGGGCCATTTGATTGCTCAATCCCCTTTTGGCCTGCAAGTCACAAAGTCTTCAAACACAACGAGAGCAAAAGGCTGAAGTCCTGGCAGAGCAGCTGGAGGGGGAGGGACCCTCCTCTTAAAGACAAAGTGTCCCATTTAAACAACCTGATTTCATCAAACATCACGGTTTCAAATGGATCAGCTTTGCTTTTTGCTAGTAGATGACGTTTTTGTCCATTTCTTTTGAGCTAATTCGTTTCAATGTATTATACGTGCGAGTATGTTAAGAAATGAGGCTAAACATAATATCACGACTTCTAATGCTCAGTCACAACCTACACAAAGGTCTTGTTTTTCAAAAAAGAAAATGACTTTTCGCAATTGCATTTTTTTTCCCTTCTGGCTCGGTGTATTGGGTGACAGGTGGAGAACAGAAGACAGAGGGATGGGTCTCAAGCCTCTTTGTACGGCTCTAAATAAGCCAGGCCCCCACAGGCCACCTGTAGACTTGGGTTAGATAATGACGCCTGTGTACCGTCTGTGACGTGCCGTCCCATTCTCCTAAAAGCCCTGTACACAATGATCAATGCAAATCAACCCACCCACAACTCTGGATGGAACCCAAACCCCAACAATGCTCGTACTACACGTACAAAATGTTTAACGAAGTGAAAACGTTGCTCGTCAACATCAAGATAACCTTTGGACCGTGTGGTGGCTGAATTAGGGAGTTTTATTTGTGAAAGAAGGCTTGCTGTAAGGTTGGGAATTAGGACAAAGCCGTGACGAACGTGTATTTAGTGATGTGATTAGCGAACAGGAAGCAGAGACAGATTTTCAGATACATCTTACACAACACCTGTTTTTTTTTTTCAATCTGGCAATCCTTTCTTATACACTCACATTTGAACTGTGTGGAGAAGGAACTAACCCACTTTTTCTACCCTATGGGGATTATGATGAGTCTTTGTTCCATTGTGTGGACATATGCTGGGTTGAGACAGCCGAGAAAGGAAGGAAAGAGAAAATCTAAACATTATGAAGTCCTCTGCAACAGTAATATGTGATGTGCAACTAGCCCCCGAACCCCCCACACTAGCCTCGCTTCCTCCATCGACGGCCATTTTGTCTGACTGGGGCCAAAACATCAGTTGTTTACCTAAAGAGCATTTAGTGACTGCCTTTTCCCAAAATGAGGAAAACAAAACAAAAATAAAATAAAAGGTTATAGTACTAAATAAAAAATATTTATATAAATACATAGCTTACTTGAAACATTTAGTTCCACATCTGACTGCAAACACGTGTATTTGTGTAAAATAACTTCTATTATGATGTTGGTAGATTTTATGTTTGATTGCTATTTCAATTGCAAACCACATTTTTATTCTATTGTATTTGTTTTTGTCTTATGAGTCGGAATGATGGGTTAAAAAAAAATCCTATTCCGTTAAAAAAAAAAACAGGAAAAAGATGGGTGACAAAATGGGGAAAGGACAACAACGTTAAAAGAACAGATATTATTTTTGTATGGCTAACAATAAACAATAATAATTCATTGTTATTCTAATTCTGTCTTTACACCTTTTTTCTTTTATTTGATCTAATTTTTGTTAGGAAAACTAACATAAATTGTAAAGAACTGTAATGTAGTTAAAACTTTCCATTTACAAACATTTCCAGTTGAACACAAAACAGACGAAATTGGCTATTCAACTTGTTAGAACGGTGTGTCCTTAAATGTTTATTATAACGAAACACAGGCACAATTATACACACTATTATCAGTGTGCAAAAGAGATGAAACATTAACCCTACATTTCATATCTCCAGTCTTGCTGTGCATTACGTAATTTACTGCCAACAGCATATGGCAAGCCATTTTAACATTTATTCCTTATAACTAACTAGTATCTAATTTTATATAGATATTTTTTTAATTACTACCCAGTAATCCGATATTAATTAGCAATTTTTCCTCAATCTCACCAATTAAGTTAACTAGCAAAGATTCTCCATAAAATGTTATGGCACAAATCTAAGTTTGTTACCAATAACAACCGAATAATCACTTTATAGTGACTAGGGCTGGGCTAGTGACTAATAGCATTCAAATAGGTACAAGTATGTAATAAATAAATAATACTAAGTTAATAAATAGATATTACTCACTACTGGAATGATTACAAATAAATTAAAAATTAAAGGCATACTAGCCAATATTTAAGTACTTACTAGTGAGATACAATTCACTATTTGATTGCGTTCTAGTAATTAAGAATAGGCCACGTAATATTAACAAAATCATACCTATTAGTTTAATGGAATAAATGTAATCTCGGCTTGCCATATGATGTCTAAAGAACCCAATGCATCCATTTTATGAACTAAACAAATAGTCCGTCGATAAACTGAGCTATTAATTACGATTTCGTCTCTAAGTTATACACACACGTTTATAAACAACTATATCTTTTGTCCTTTTATATCTTTCTTTGGGTCTCTGTTTGTGTCGAGGGTTTCGCCTGTTTATGTTCGTGCGCAAAGCCTCCGCGCGCTTCCGCCTATGTGGCCAAAGCACATAAATTAACTGATAAACAAAGAGATCGATGTTTTCCACATTTTTCACAAACAAACGACGCATGAATAGAACGTGGATATGATGAAGTTCATATCCGTGTGTAGAGAACGATACTTACCTGCCAGGATGTCCTGTAGGGTCTGGTTGAATGTCTGGAGCTGTCTGTCGTTCACATGTCCTTTAATCCGCAGGAATCTCGACAGAAACCCGACGGCGGCGTTTATTTCTGGCTTCATCGTTCCTCGGGCACAGAGGGTATGCATTGAGAGGCTCCGTGTGCTGTATGGCCAATGCGCTTTTGTTTCCTTTTGCAAAATGATCCTTGTTTTTCGAGTGTTTTAGTTCTCTGATGCCTATGCTGAGCATTTATTTGTCGATGAAGGAAAAACTCGGAGAGTGCTACGTGTTCCAGGACGATACAGTGCTTCGACTGGGGTTGTTTTGTCCGAATAAACACATAGAGGTGGATACCACCCTCCTCGGTCACAGTCCTCCAGAAGAGTAGACCGTAATGAAAGCGAGCAGCGCTTATGTAATGCCCCCTCCACCACCAGCAACAACAGCAACAACAACCAGCCAATCACCGCGCTTAGACGAGGTGACGTATGCGCGGAGGAGTGCGCTCATTACGTCACAACTCTAGAAATAAACAGAGCATGTGAAAAAAGCGCTGGTTTTTAACCCCTTCCACTGAACCACAACATAACATAAGACTTGAATTTCATGTACAAAATTGGTGTACATAACCTACGTATAATAACGGCTCAGGCTGTCATTTAAGAAAGGTGTGCATGCTTTAGCATTTATTACTAGCATCTGCAGTGATATTTGGAATTCCCCACTCACTTCAAGGGGAAGGCCCAATGTTAGTCTTTTAAAATGGACACATTGTACATCCTACACAACCACAAGTTTTCTGACCAAACTGTAGGTGTTTTAAGGAAGTCTCTTTCTGCCTCTGAGGGGGGAAATGTTTAAAATAATATATAAAGTCCTATTGTGAGATATATAAAGTCACAATTACTTTATTTTTCGTTCACTTGAGACAGAAACAGGCTTATATAGGCTATTTTTTACTGTCTGCACACAAAGCTTACAGTTACACACACGTGCCTTTTAAACATTGCTGGCGGTGATAAAAATAGAATAAAATATGTTGTCTAAGCCATTTACTTTATCTTAAAAAAGACAAAAATATATAATAATATTAATAATGTATGACAGTGTGATTAGGTTATGGAACTGTACATTTCCACAACCTGTTTTCATCCCTGAGAGAAACCTTGGCATTAACCTTTTCTCAGAACAGCGGGTTAGGAGGATGTTTTTACATGGCTATGTATTTACCAGTGGGAATAAACCACTGGAAGGTGTTTCAAAGTGACTAAGGAACATTCTGACCTAATTCTGTTGCTTTTTCTGTTGCGGCCAAAGGCAAATCACCTCTGAACTAGCGTGTGCTGACTCAAGCCTCAACCTGACCTGCCCTGCACACCTATCATTCAATTACACCAACATCTTGGTTGGTCCAAGACCAGCTAATGGCGGTATTTAGCAAATAACTACATTCTGAAATTGCCAGATGATCTCTGCAAATCTCTTTGATGCCAATGTCCAAAAATACCTGCAAGTCACTAGAATTAGGCTACCGTTTCATTATATTTGATCACAATATTTTATAACTCCATGAAACCTTGTTGTTTCACAGTTAGTATTCAACAATCCTCCCATGGGTGTTTCAGAGACGACTGAATCAAAGCCTCAGGTAAACATGGCAGCCAAGCCGCCCGCCATTCACCCGCACTGGAAAAATCCAGCGTGACTGAAAATAATCAAAATTTTAGTGGCAGCGATGAATCACAACATCACTATGTCTGCCCTCACTCCACCCACAAGTCCAAGGGGCTCGAAGGGATGAGAGGAATTCATGCATTTTGCAGGGCTGTGAGATCAGCTTTCCCTGTTTCTTTTAGGTAGGATTTTAGCGGTGGGGGGGAACTGACTCTAAATGTTAACGCTGAAACCAGAACAGTGCTATACTTAGTCTTTCATAGCCCATAATGCCTCAAAAGTAACAGTGATACCCCATATTAAACAAGCCATTCTGACAATTACTGTCCCATTACCGGAATACAGATTCCTCAAAGAAAAGAATAATGACCGTGACAGAGAACAGAAGAAAAGCAGACATGTGATATGTGAGTTTGAGCTCCTTTCTCAAGGTGAATGAGATGGACTATGTAAGACAACACCAATATAAAGACAAGCTGTGGAATCACTTGACTGAGACAATGTTTTATCACGCCGTTATTTCTTCATCCCTCGCTCTTGACCTCTCTTTGGAGAACATTGCCTTCATCCGTTAGAACTGACGCAATCTTTCCCCTTGACGCGGCTGATGGAGTGAGTAAACACGAGAGAGGGATAACAGAGAGGTGAACATTGAAAATAGAAGGGAGGAAGACTGTTTAAAAGGACAGATAAAACTTTGATCAGTTAACTCAGAACGTTACCTCAGCTCTAAATGTAAATTCTAATAATATAAATGAATAATGTATATTAATATTAAATGATATTATACACATCATAATAATACATTTACAAATTAATAATAATTTGTAAACTAGATTTTTTTTTTGTAAGTATTAATGATATTGTTTTATTTTAGATACCGTATTATATGTACAATTATACACACACATATATATATACACAATTATATATGTGCGTTTATAAAATATTATAATTAATATTCACTCATGAATTAATATAGAATAATGTATATATATATATATTTAAAAATGTATATATATATATATAATATAAATACTGTTTATATGTATAGATGCTGTATTAAAAGATAGACATGTACTGTGTGTGTGTGTGTGTGTGTGTGTGTGTGTGTGTGTGTGTGTGTGTGTGTGTGTGTGTGTGTGTGTGTGTGTGTGTGTGTGTGTGTGTGTGTGTGTGTGTGTGTGTGTGTGTGTGTGTGTGTGTGTGTGTGTGTGTGTGTGTGTGTGTGTGTGTGTGTGTGTGTGTGTGAGGTAGAAAATTACTTTCAGGGAACATTCTACCGTAATGAATCAGACTGTATCCCACACCCATCACACAGACACATTACACATACTGTGAATGATTTTCATTGGACAGGGCATGAGTGTGGTGTTTGGGTTGTGTCTCTGAATCATAGTCCTGTTGAGAACAAGATGCACACTTGGAATAAAAATACCAGTAGTTGTTTGCACACTTGATACCTCAACAATACCTAATTTGTTAACATTCTGATCCACACATATTTATTCACAAAATACTTTGTTTAGAGCAAAATACTTTGTTCTTAAATTAGTTTGATAACATTATTACATCATCATTTGCCTTTATGGCATTTGAGGCCGTAATAATAATAGCTATCATATTTTAATTCAATGTGAATGAAAAGCTTTAAAAATTGTGACGTGACCCTCAAAAACAACATTATCCATCACAGCCCCATTTTCATTCACATTAAATGAAATGTTGTCTATATTGACTATAAGGTCTATTAACATTATCTGTGTACATTACTCTAAGTCTTTTTTTAGGTAAGTAAGTGTTTGTTTAGCAAACTCAAGAGGTTATCTCTGCTCTGCCAGTATATCGGGACATGCAAAAGTCATAAAAAGGAAAGCCAATAAACTGCAAACACTTGAGCATGGCTTATGAATAAACCGCTGGTGGAAAAAAGAGGGAAATGCCCCTCAGGTATATAACTATTGGCCCCCAAAAAAACTCAAAACTCAAAACCCTCCATGACTAATTTCCTTCTCTTTCCTCTAGTTCTAATCCAGGAAGCATGGGAGTGCTCTTTCTAACGGTTGGAAGTCAAAACCCCCAACTGTGTGGTTTGGCCATTGCTTCCATATAGGCAGGACATTCCTCTGGAAACTCAACCCCCTTTCAGCTCAAAGACCTTCACATGCTTCCCATTCATCTCCAAAGGCCCTGAAAACAGGTTTTTGAAACGCTAACGAAGGAAGCAACATTCAGGAACAAATATTGTTTTTTATAAAATCACATTAATGTGTATTGGCTCTTGATAACCTTCACATTGAACAAACAACCTTACAGGCCTCTGTCTATTTATAGGGGGGCTAATCTGTGCTCCCCACTCTCCGTATCGGTCCATATCTCCCCCAGTCGCCAGGCTGGTACGACTTTATTTTTAGAGTTGAGAGAGTTGAGAGAGAAGAGAAGCCTTTTCCAGAATATCCTCATGAGCCCCCGACTTCATCAGATACTCAGGGATAAGACATTGTGTAACTTTGCTGAGACATAAAGCTGAGCTTAGTATCCTCAACCACTGTTCACTATACTGATTTTTATATATATATATATATATATTACAATATATGAAATATATAAATATATTAAATATCATCTATAAAAATTAGTGCTGCATGGGCAAAGATTAATCGCAATTAATCGCATCCAAAATAAAAGTTTGTGTTTACATAATATAAGTGTGTGTACTGTATAATTATTTTGTACATACACACATAAGCATGTATATATTTAAGAAATATTTGCATGTATATACTGTATATATATATATTTATACATAATTTATATTATATATAAATATATTATATATAAATAAATACAATTCTTAAATATACATGCATATGTGTGTATTTATATATACAAAATAATTATAGCTACACAGTAAACACACATATATTATGTAAACACAAACTTTTATTTTGGATGCGATTAATCGTTGCCCAGCACTAATAAAAATATTACATATTGATAAAATAAAATATAATAATATAAATCATATAAAAAAATTAATATAAATTTATTAATAAAAATTAAATATTACAAATTATATATATATTATATATAAAATGTGTGTAATATATTTACTTTTTATTAACACATCTATATTTTTTATGATTTCTATTTTTATATAAATCATATAAAAATATAAAAAAATTATACACAGATAGGCTATATATATATATATATATATATATATATATAATGCTTATAGAAACACATTTATATATATATATAATTAAAAATATATATATTTAATTAAAAACAAATGTTTAAAATATTATATTTATGTATATATATATATATATATAAAAATGTAATGTATATTTTGTTTATATATTTACTTTCTATTATAATTTTAAAATTAGGCTACTTTTATAAAATGTAAGAATAAAATATAAAAATAAAAATTTCACTGACAAAATAAAAAAAAACCTTTTGTTAAAGACTTTCAAATGGCGAGATCAACACTCTCTTCAACAGAGTTGTCCGATTTTTTTTTTTAACTAAAATCTGCTAAACCAGGCCTGAGCATCCATAAGTTCATTCAAAATATGAAGATAATTTAGTGAGAACCCCACCGGGAGGCAGAGGGTTTGAGAAATATCACAGCAGCAATATGGGCTGTATTTAAGCGGTTTTGCCTTAAATGAGGCGTAGCAGAGCAGGGCTGATCCAGATCTCTGAAGTCATGGAACATATCT